GAGGTGAGGCTAATTAACAGTAAGGAGCTGAGTGTGTTCTAGATGAAAGAAAACTTGTTTTTCTTTTTCTTTTTTTCTAACAGAGCCGAGCCAGTTACTGCTCAGTGCCGGCACACTCTGGCATTATGGGCTGTGGCCCATATCTGGCTGCCGAGTGCAAATAGGTTTCCAGGACTCGATGTTTGGGTTGAGACTTTTGAATTGGGTCAGTATCGAAACCAGAAGTCAGATCTGGACTTTACATCAGTATCCGTAACCTCGAGTCCTGGGGGGGCTAATTTTTTGCAATCAAAATATTATTCTTTTAATATTTACTTCCAACTGATAATGAAGTTCTGCAGCCTGAGAGGAGGAATGAAAACTATTTCGGAACAGCCTGAAATTCAAATTGATATCCATCATCTGCTCTCAGGACACATCAGTGTAAACTTTTATTAAAGTGGGTAGAAAGCCAAGCACACCGAGGTTACGCCCTAGCAGGTCCAATAAAATGTTCATTAAATTTCAACAAAAAAACAAGGTATGAAGCCAAATAACTGCAGAGTGGGAACAGAAGTCTAAAAATAACTTTGTTAGTGGCTGTTTTACCCTCGCTGACAGTATCCAAGGACGGTTTAAATCAAGGGCAACTGGAGAGCCTCTCATCCAAGCGGGACGCAAATCCAATGCGGAAGTCCTTCAAACCTGCATTATATTGAAAATCCAGCAGGGGGCGACTCTTCTGGTTGCAAAAAGAAGTCAGTTTCCATTAGAAATAATGGGAAAATGTTTCTACTTCTCAGCTGATTTATTCCCTCAGTAAACACTTTCCTGATGAGTTTATGATCTCAGTCGCTAGTTTCAAGTCTTCTTCAACACAACATGATGTTCATTTAGTGAATTATGGTCCCATTTAGAGGAAAATAGACCATAAATCAGAGTATGATTAGTTTTAAGACTGTTGTTCGCTCGACAAAGTTATCAGCCCGGTTAAAATGTTTAGTTAACGTGAATTACAGATGCACCTAGCTAAGCAAGCTAGCTAGCTCCGCACACGGCCGTTAGCTCCACCGTCTCGTCCAAATATGGTCACGTCCGGTGCTGCTGGTTGAAAAAAACTCAACATGGCGACGCCCAAACTCGAGGTTTCAAAACGGAAGCCGACAAACCAGCAGGTGACGTCAAAATGACTACGTCCACTTCTTATATACAGTCTGTGGTCTCATCCAAGGGGCTTCTTCTTTAGTTCTGATTGACTGGGACGGGAATCCCAGCTGTTCAACCTCTGCGAGGTCGTTATCAACGTGATGGATACCACTCCCTTCAAATGTATGTAAACAGTGAGTCTTGGCCTGAGGAGTTGGCTCTTCTGTGCTGTGGCTGTTGTTGGGCTGAGCCTCTTGCGTTACTCTGAACTGTCCTCACTGCCAGGAAACACCACGAACATAAAAGCTTTGTTGGGCATAAGAGCTCATTCTTGTCAACAAAAAGCAGATGGGATATTTATTTCTGTATCTTCAAGTTTCCCCCAAATCGGTCGCAGTCACTTACTAGTTAATTTACTTGATGAAATGTGGTCTTTTTATCTACACAGTCAGCAGAAGCAGCAGAGGCAGTTGTAGTACTTCAAAACCAGATTGCCATGATTACTGTCAAAAATAACACGCCATCTCTGAGTTCTGCAGATCATTACGATCGCCGTGCATCACGGACAGTGTTGGGCAATAAGTTTCTAGTTAAGTAATAATATTACTTACATTATTATTATTACTTACATTATTTTTTTCAACCAATATTGCGATTACGATTAACATGCAATACATTTTTTTATCTCTTTACCGCCTGTATTATTCAAAACGGACAAGCAGTAAATCAGTGTACAGTATGACCAACACAATATTAGATAGATTAAACACACACTGTTGTTTCTTGTGGGTCGGGCCTGTGTTATGATGAAATTAGGTGATGCATGAATTATTATTATGAGCAATGGTGGAGTATCAAGTAAGTATCAAATTTTAATAATATGAGAAAGATAATTTGAATCTGGTCATGGCATTGAAAAATATGATATAGTATCATCAGGTTGGGCGGTGGTTAGCACTGTCGCCTCGTGGGTTCAAACCCCGGTTGCTCCAGCCTTTCTGTGTGGAGTTTGCATGTTCTCCCCGTGTCTGCGTGGGTTCTCTCCGGGTGCTCCGGCTTCCTCCCACCATCCAAAGACATGCAGGCTAGGTTGATTGGTGACCCTAAATTGTCCTTATGTGTGGCTCTGCGATGGACTGGCGACCTGTCCAGGGTGTACCCCGCCTTGCGCCCGATGTACGCAGGATAAGCGGTTGACGATGGATGGATGGATCATCAGGTTGGCCTACACACCACAAGAAAAACTAAGTTCACCAAGTGCGTAATACAGTAAGCGCTCAATACAAAACCCACAGTTCATCCACCAATTAATGAGTCTATCTCAAAAACCTCCAAAAATACTCAGTTTGAGGTTCAATTCAAAAGTTGGCCAATGAAAATAAAACCAAGTGACGCCTCTCGTGTTTAATAGACCAGCTTAGTAATTCACCACCGGAGTCCAGCTGTCAAGCTTAAGGGCATTGTAAAAAACAAGTCATGGGGACAGCGTTACGTGCAGACTGCTGTACTCTTGGGTGTCATGTGACCAGAGTGTAATCGCAGCCTTTTCATTAGAAAATCTCATTTGATCACATTGCGATAATATTGCAAATGCAATTAATCGTTCAGCCCTATTAGTGGATGATAAAAGTAACTAGTTACGTTACTGTATTACTTTCGTGCTTGCCCCACGACAGCAAGCAGTCTCTCCCGACTCCCACCTTTTGAACTAATAGCATATTCATATAAGCAGCAAGGATTAGGCTGTGGTTTTTACAAAACATATAATGTTTCTTAATGCCACCGTCTGAAACAAAAAACAAAGCAAGTAAATTTTTAACTACTGTTTTCTTGCACATGCATTTATCAGAGCAGTATTCAGGGTTTTTACAAAACATAAAACGTTGCTAAACGCCGCTCTCTCCCATTGCTGTGCTGCTTTAGCAGATGCTTCACTAAATTAAATGCAGATTTGTTCACGGTTGAAAGCTTTTTGCTGGTTTACCACGGACGACAATGTTCTTTGCATCTTAGATTGTGACACAATAATCGTGATACTTACAGCTGTGGAAAGAACACCTCTCCCCCTCGTTTTCCATTCATCTTTTCTTTTTTTACCTTTATTTAACCAGAAAGAAACTCATTGAGATTAAAAATCTCTTTTCCAAGAGCGTCGTGGCCAAGACAGACAGCAGCACAATTAACAAGGTTGCAGACATTAAAACATATAACATAAATGTAAAACATCTAACAATTGAGGATGGGAATAATTAGTGAGTTACAAGGTCATAAAATATTTTAATATAAATATTAAATATTTATATTTTAAGTAATAAACATCTACAGCCAGTGTGCACAGCCTCTATGTCATTTAAAAGTACTTTAAAAGCAACCAGTGAAACCAGCTCCTGAAGATTCAGGACATTTTGCAGCTGATTCCAAGCACAAGGAGCTGCTTACTTAAAAGCCCCTTTTCCCAATTCAGTCCGAACCTGAGGGACAGATAACAGTAATAAGTCCTCAGAACGAAGACAATATCTTCCTGTGCTTTTCTTTTTGAAGTAGGTTTGTAGGCATGGGGGAAGCAGACCAAAAATAGCCTTGTAAAAAAGAATGTGCCAATGATTAAGTCTACGGGTGGACAATGCAGACCAACCAACCCGCTCATACAAGGAGCAATGATGAGTAAGGGCTCTGAAGTCTGTGATGAACCTCAGAGCTCCGTGGTAAACAGTGTCCAGCAGTTTCAGGCTTTGAATGGATGCATGCATGTACATAACATCGCCATAGTCCAGCACTGACATGAACTGACGTGACCACTGAACTGTGGACTGATTGCAAAGTTTAACCATCACAGTATGAGAAAAGGTTTGTTTCACTAAAAGGATTCAGAAGCGGACACAAGGCAGATGATCACAACTCAGGCAGGGTTTATTAACAAAGCGCACAGGAAAAGCCGGAGGGCTGGGGAGAGAGCTGACAATGTTGTTCCAGAGCACTGTACAGGGCGGACAGATCGGCCGGCGGGTGACAGGCTAGCAGGCAGGTAACGACTCAGCACACGGGAATAACTGTGTCAGATGGAAACAGGACGTTAGGCACAGATCACAAAATACTCCACAAAACTAGGAGCATTTGGCCCGGAGCAATTTACCATAGGAGGCAAACAGACAAACTGGCGAAGAGTGGGAGCTGAACCAGAGTATTTCACTGCAGGAGTTGATTGTTGATGAGCCACAGGTGCGAGAAGCTGCAGGTGGCGATGAGCCTGGACCGGACGCGCCCACACACACACACACAAACACAGGACCTGACAGACAGGACTGACACCAGAGAAAACACAAGGGAGGGGGAGGAGGCGAACGTTTTTAGATTTTCTTCACCATCAGAGTTATCCTGTGATAGTCGTCTGTACATACATGTGTACGTTGCCAACAGGGACGGCTAATAGCTAAATGTAAACAAATATAAGCTTAAAATGAACAATGCTTAAGTTGTAGCCTGGGGGGGGTTCAGTTGTTTTTCTCCAGGCAGGATTGAATGATTTAAAACATTTCTGAATTAAAACTAACTTTTCAGCACAGGCTTGATGGCTATATGGTACACGTTATAATTTTAAAGTAAAGCAGTGGCACAAACAACTAAAATGAATAAATGAAATACGGCCTTTGGGCGCACAGGGGCAAGAATTTCTCATTTATCTGCAGTTATCTCCCTGAAAAGTTGCAGATTACAAAAACATGAACTTTAGTCCAGAAAACTTGAAGCACGTTTATCAAACACGAGCGTGAAAGCCTGAGACACGTAGAACCTGAGAGTGAACTTCTGACTGACGCAGGAGGTTTGTTCATGTTGGAGATAATACTCATAATATTTATTTCCTCTCGTCCCGACAGGTTAATGGAAAGTTTCCTCACTGCCAGTTCCACTGGGAGATGCAGCAAGCCAGGAGAGACTGTCAGACACAACTGCAGCAACAGACGCCTGCTAGCACAGGTACACACACACACACACACACACACACACACACACACACGTTTGTTCCTCTATCCCCATGGGGACATCTCATTGACACAATGCGTTCACTAACCTCTTACCTTAACCTTAACCCGATTGTGGCCTGAACACTAAAACAAAGTCTTAACCCTCAAAAAGCAAGCTCTACCTGTAGGGACCTCAACATTTGTCCCCATCGGTTAGTGTGCATTCAGGCAGATGTCCCCACCCAGATATAAAAACATGAAACACACACACACACACACAGTAAAGCTCTTAAGTGATATGAATGCAGGACCAAGAGTTTTACAGTGACTAACACTATTGGCATGTGCAAGCAGGCGAAAATACTCAGAATAGAAACACACACACTCACACCTCTTGGTGTGTGTGTGTGTGTGTGTGTGTGTGTGTGTGTGGGCATTGACTGAGGTCAGTTATGTGTATAAAAAGGTGTGTCTGCACGCCATTTCGGCCTGTGTTGCAACACACTCACTATCAGTCACTTATTTACCTCTCAGGTCAAATACTCCAGAGTCGTGAGGAAGTGCACACACACACACACACACACATACATGTGCATGCAATACTGGCCTGTTCTGTTTTTCTAAAAGGTCATGTATGATTGAATGTTTCTCCTCAGTGATAATAAAAAAGCGTTTTATCTGTGTGATCTGCAGCTTTTGGACTTTTTTTCTCATGCATGTGTGGGTGTGTTTGTCTGTGTGCTAGACTCAAAGACATTTGACCTTTTTAAAAGACAAACCACCATCTGATTCCTCTTTTAGACTTCATCAGGTAAATCAGCTCATTTAAATAGCAGCTTATTCTCATCGGTGGTGGAAAGTAACTGTTTTGAGTGTTGCTTTGTGCTCAACTTGTTTCACAGTATCTCTACATTGCTACTTCTACTTAAAGGTGAGGTAACAGGAACCTGTGGTCAAGATGAGGCAACTGCAGGATGCTGTATCCTGAAACAAACAAAGTGAAATATGTGCGACCTTTATGTGACAGCCCTATATTGGTGTATAAAAATATGCACATGAAGGTCTTTGCTTTTTGGCTGTGGAGACACTTGATCGCCTTGAGCAAATGTGAAATAAGCGTACTCAAAGACAGTTTTGGTTTGTCAGCTTTATTTTATACAGATTTCCCTAAAACAGTCTTTTCTTATACGTTTGACTCTAGTGCTGCTGTAACCAGTGTGGGATCAGTAAAGTTTATCTTACCTTATCTTAAATTGTGGGGATGCACTGAAATGAAAATTCTTAAATAAAGAAAAGATTTGCAGAACACTGAACAAGTACATTCACAGTTTTTCCCCCTCAGTGTTTCCCACAGGATTTGCAGAGACTATGGTGGGTGGGTCTGAGGCACGAGAGGGTCCGGTAAAGTAAATTACACGTGTCCATTTACTTTTAATGGATACGATTTGTTTTATACTTTCTGTGAATTTTAATCCAATTAATCCTGTATAGACACCTTATTTTGAAAACGGACGTTGTCAGTTTGATAAAAAATAAAATTGTATGTTGTTCTCGTACGGCGTAACACGAAGACTTCACAGGCTCTCTTCAGGTAGGACTCTCATACTGCAAAACTTGTCTTTGTAAAGAGAGAAACTGACAGGATAAAGTCTCTAACCTGCCTTTACCGTAAAGGCTTGAATACGTGTGCACTCCAAATGTAGGTGCGGCTGGCTTTATTGCCTTCTCAGAAACGAGTGACAGAAACACTCAAAGCGGTTCTTTTCTAAGAAGTCAGCCACAGATGGAGTGGATGTGCTAGGAGACAATTCAGCAGAACAGCGTCTCCTAACGGCGAGTCTTTCTTGGACACTTTAAAATGCTTCCACACTGCACGACATGTCAACGTAATTGTTCAGTAAAATTTAATTGGTCTTTTGACTTATTGATTCGAACACCCTAAGGGCTATTTTTACTATTTTTGTCCAATTAATTTCAGTGGCCCAACATTTGGTGCATCACTATTAAATACACCTTAGATTAAGTTATTAAAGGCTTTAACAACATTTAGAGCTGCACTTTGGTCTTTTAAGCATAAAATGTTGATGTTTTACCCCCCAAAGTAATCTTAATTTCAGTCTTAGTATGAGAAATAAGTAAGTAAAGGGCATGTAAGGTGTTAACTTAAGGGTTTCTGTTCCCTCCTGAGTGAACACGTGAGCCAAATGTCAAAACTTCAGAGGATTAAGATTTGCTTTTATGTTGATTTATATGCCGACTGTTCGCTCAGCAGCAGGCACAGGATCAGTGAGATTCAAACAAGTAGCTCAGCCAAACAGGAAGTTGTGAACAATATAATTTATACCTCCAATGTGTGTGTGTGTGTGTGTGCAGGATGTCGCGGCGAGTGGGAAAGTGTGTCTTGTTGGCAGAGCGCGGCGGTCAACGAGACGGTGACCCTCCCCTGCCCCTCCTCCCTCCTGCACCTGTTTGGAAAAAACGGTGAGTTTTAGGCTTCAACACACACACACACACACACACACACACACACACACACACACACACACACTCTCTCTCTCCACTACGTCATTGTCATATCTGATGTAAATGTTCATATCAGGGAAAATGCAACGCTCAATCTGTCACGAATTTTCAAATGGGGCTCTTATTTTGAAAAAGTGGTAAAAGGTTGTATCGTGTATCTTGTAAGTTGATGATTGTGATCTAGTTTTTAGCTCCTTTTTAGCTCCTTGGCCCAACAAACAAACTTAAGCAGTGTCACGCTCTTGTTTGGTTTGCGGTTGTTCAGTTTCTGGTCCAGAGAGAAACGGGTTGTAGCAATAATCGACGGTAATGCGCTGCATGTGACCTCTGCCAGATGTTTCCTTCCTCCCAGCAGTTTCCTTTCACAGCTAATTTCACAAACTCTCGTCTTTCAGTCGACTCATTCTGCTTCATCTGTCACGTCGATGCCTCTTGTCTTTTGATCCTCTCGAGCTTCTGTAATCTGGACAGGTCTTTCATCCCTCTGCTTCCCTTTCCTCTTGCATCATCCTCCTCTGATCGAGCAACCTTTCTCACCTGCCATCCCTTACTCCAGGAGTCTGCAAATAAGTCTGGCATCGGGCTAAATTTTTTTCAAGTCATTAGATGTCGGGCCAAAGATCATGAATTTATCATTTATAATCACTGTACCTGTTTAGCTCAGTCAGCAGTACATAGGACTCCCGTTTGAAGCGTTGTGTGTTCACTTGCTGCTGGAATTATTTTTCTCCCTTTTTAACAGATTGATTATGAAGAGATCAGTTTACGATTGGTCCACATATAGGTTTATATATACATATAATCTTATTTTCGTTTCCCCAGTGTCTCTGAATGTTTCTCATTCAGGGGAATCCAATCTCACGACTTTTTCAGAGGTGTGTCAAGCAGATCTTTAGAACTTTTCAAAGTAAAAGCTCTCATTTCTCAACCTGTTGCTGTCCTCTTACTCCCTCTGTTCTCTGTCCTTCCAAACTAAAATATTTAGTTTGAAAAAAGAAAGTTTTCCCAGAAGTGTTAACAGTTGCTAAATTTGTTTTGTTAAGAAAAGAGTTATTGAAATTGAAGCATTTTTGTGGGATATACAACTTGTTTTATGTTAATTCAAAACAGCTGAAAAGTGTCTTTGGCCACTTTTGTTTATAGAATATCTACAAACAAATAATCTGCCTTGTGGTTGTTCTTTGTTATTACAGTTTTGACAAAGAAAGTGATTAGGTTAGTAAATACTTTGGCGGGGCTGTGTGATTATTTCATGGTGCAATACAGTAAGGTCAGGTTTGGCCAGGACTCTCGAAAAAGAGCAACTGCGTCCTACAAAATATTTACTCATTTGGCAGACGCTTTTTATCCAAAGCGACTTACATTTAAGGAACAACATACAAGCATCAGATCTACAATACATTGTAAACGCTCTGTACAGCGCCACTCTAGTCTTTTTGACCACTCACACTAAATCACATTCATACACTGAGCCTCAAACAGAAACTTACATTCACATTTATACACTGGTGGAACAGCCAGGGGCAATTTGGGGTTCAGTATCTCGCCCAAGGACACCAACACGCAGCATGGAGGAACAGGGGATCGAACCGCCGACGTTCCCGATTAACAAGCAACCCGCTCTATCTCCACAGCCGCCCTTAGCAGTAAGAGCTAATAGCGTTTGTCACATTAATTAACATAGGGAAAGAAACAAGAAGTGCAATCAATACAGGACAGAAGTAGAAGAGCACAGGAAGTGCGTGTTAGAGGTAGAAGTGTTCATGGAAGAGATGAGATTGCTTTGTAATCTCAGGGGTGGCGTGCGCGGTGACCAAGAAGGAACGTAGGCTTGTATTATGGAGTGTAGGTAGATGGTGCAGACCCAGTAGTAGCTCTCCATGCAGCGTTACTGTCTTGAAACTTAAAACTACAGCTCTTTATCAATCATGAATCTCACCACCCTGGTTGGAGTGATGGTTGAGGAGCAAATTTGTAGTTTGATGTTATGGTGGATAGATTGCTTGGCTGGAATGACCAAGAGTTCAGTCTTAGAGAGGTTTAGTTGAAGGTGGCGAGCCTTCATCCATGCGGATATGTCAGAGAGAAAGTCCACGAGCCGCGCCGAGACGTTCATAACCGCTCTGCTAATTCACCTTGTTAAATACAGTGTTGGTAAAAACTCAATCGCTGCCTGGATTGTGTTCACTGAATGTGTTCAGTCCAGGAAACGTGACTGGAGATTGTCATGCATCCTGCGGTTCACCTGTTCAGTTTTAGGCAACTAAGATCTTGGTTTTGGGTGAAGATCACTTTGCAGAGATGTTCAATATAAATGCAATAGGGACGGTACGTGTTTTTTGCCTGCTGCTCAGTAGAGGATTTTCAAATCTTTACTAATTTTAAAAATGTGGGACACCACAGACATAACGACAGAATGTTTTTTTGTTTGTTTTTTAAACATAAGAACGCACACCAGATGATTCAGTCAAGATGCAGGACCACACACCGGGGACTTGGTATTTCACATAACTTGCAAATCGTAAATACTTGTTTGAAATCAGGGAGCCTCCCATCCAGTCAGCAACTTTACGATTATGTTTGTAAGCCCCTCACTCTGCAGCATCATTTGGGCCGATACATTCACATATAAATACTGTATATATAAATTGTTTGGCAGTGTAACTGTGCCGGAGGGGTTATGCCGAATTTTGTTTGCCTGCCGAGAATTGCATGAAAATGCATTGAAGTTCTGCTTTTAAACCCACTATATTCTTTGTGGGGTTCATCAATTGTGATAAATGATCTGCATGTATTTAATGAACGTTAACAATTGTTAACATATTATTACACTTAGTAAAAGTAGGCCATTTCTTGAGATTCAGCGAAAACATGTGGCGTTAACCGTGTTCAAACAATGTCAAAAGCAAAGTGTCTGAAAAGGACCTTAATAAGTGAATTTCATAATTCAGCAAAACGGATGTTGTAGGCTAGCTGCCGAAATTTGCATCCACATCTTTTCTCAGTATGAAAGAGCGTTACCTCCCGCGAGGCTGATTTTATTCCCCTATCTATCAAGTCAGCGAAAGTCAGCCAGTTATCTCGAACGCACCTGTTGACTACCAGTTATACAGCGTGCAACTTCGACAGCTGTTTTCCAAAGTTAACATAGGTCTCCTTATTAGCTAGGCTCCTTACATGCTTGCTATTAACTGCTTTGAAGATGGGTCTCCGACATTGACAGCGTTGTGTTGGACAGATTTGTGCAGCGGTGTTTATGATACCAACCATTCATTTACAGACGAGTCTGTTGTCCGTGTTTGCGCGAGAGAGAGAAAGAGCGACCGAACGAGAGGATGTGTGGAGCGAATATGTGCTGCACGGCGCTGCAATCAAAAAAACGATTTTAAAATGGGGCGCCAAATTTACTGTTAATCTACCTGGGCGGCCCGCCCAAGTAAAGCCTATGTGTGGGAAACACTGTTGTTTGGTTTCAAACCTGCAATGTTTGTTTGCTGGCATTACAGAATATTTTAATAAAAATACCAACTCAAAAACTCTGTCAGAAGCATCGTTTTTCTGCTTTGCATGACGACCCAATCAGAGAGCCGAGCGTGAGCGTCTGTGTCATCGTTTCCAAAGTCCTCCGTTTTGGCCCGTCTTCACCCGTCTTCGCTGTTTTAGTCTGGACGGGAGGTGCAAACGTAGCAAAAGGTCTCCGTTTTAATTTGAAAATGCAGCAGTGTGGATGGGGCCTAAGTGGGAAATAGAGAAGTAGTCGTTATCGTCTATTTTGAGTAAATATGTTGTAATCTTCACAAGAAATATGTAATGAAATGTAATGAAAGTAAAGTCTAATACAGAACAAGCTTGTTGTTGTATTTCGAGAACTGTATGTGTTGAATAGGTGGGCTGTATAAGAGGGTTTGTTCTTGTCTTTGTAAAATAAAAAATGACAAATGAGCTCACTGAGAAAAAAATAACTCCTGATGTGATTGTTTTTTCATGTTAAGGTTCACCCTCCCCCCTCCCTCCATCGCTGTGTTTTCCTCGCCTCCCTCCATCCTGCGCTGCTCACGATCTTTCAGTTAATGAGTCTAATTATTCGCGGGGCAGCTGATGACATCTGGGCTGGCCGACTTTCTCCGTGATTTCCCTCAGCAGCATCTGTCAGCAGCTCGGTTTATCCACCTCCCTGCTGCCCCTGCAGAGGTGGGAAGCATTAGGTCAGTTAAAAGATGAGGCGTGTGATCGGCACAACGGCGGCTGCTCAACATCTGAAGTCACTGACTGAGACTGCGACTGTTAAATATTCTGTCAACACATTAACATCTGTGCACGAGAGACTGTGAAATTAGCTGGCCAACAGCAAACTCTGCTGTTAAAGTTAAATCAGTTGCATCTTCACTTTTCCTCTGTGTTTTGCCTCCTGTAGAAGCAGTAACAACAGAAATGCGTCCCATTTCTGATATATATCAAATATAATACAAGGAATATATATAGTTTAGAAAATCTACACAGGCGGTGAAGTACTTTGCTTTGAGCAGTGTTTGCAGGTCATCCTGAAGTCTCCATACAGCCCCCAACAAACGGTTTCTTATAATTTCAAAGGAGCTTGTTTGCTTATTTTCTCTCCGTATTTACAGTTGTTCATGTCGGCTTGATTTGCAGTTTAATCAAGAGGAAGTTGTGTAACGTGCTGCTTGTTGTATCTGATGTGATGTCGTGGGGTGGATGATTACATTTACACAGCACTTTATCTTGATACCCACAGCGCTTTAGAGAGAAACTCACCTTAACCACCACTGATGTGTAGCATCCACCTGGGTGATGCATGGCAGCCATTTAGTGCCAGAACTCTCACCACACATCAGCTTGAGGTGGAGAGGCGGGGAGCGAAACAAAAATCCAGTTACCCTGGGGGTTAGGAGTTTTCACTCTGAACTCCCTACTTATGGGATCTTTGGACCTCGGTTTCACATCCCAAAGATGGTTTCTCCTACAACAGAGGCTCAGTGAATGGATGTGAAACAATATTACGTTAGTTATTGCATTTGTTATCAAAGGGAGATCACATAGAGTAGCCTACATGTGTGTGATTTGGTAAAAGAGATACAGTAGTTTTGGGAAGTAGTTTTCCCACTTTATCAGAGTCAAAACAATAAATGTCTCAGGACAGACCTTTTTTATGAATTTAGTGTAGTCTGAAGTTATGTCAAATAGTAAAATTAGGCTAACTTGGCTCATATGTTGAGTTTCTACGGGATCAAACAACATAATCATGATCCCTGGAGGAATTGAGTGAAACTAAGGGGGTGGTAGGAGGACGCCTTTTCCCAAGCTTTGTCTGAGGGTAGGCCCACAGTCTCAGAAAGCCCTTGTCCTACAGCATAGCAAAATATGTTTTTTTGATGTTGTTTGTTTAGTAAGACCAGAGGGAAGACTGCCCCCTACTGGCCCACCAACACCACTTTCCAGATGCAGATTAGTTTTCCCAGTAGGTCTCCCGGTCAAGTACTGTACACCTGTATAGCTTCAGTCATTCAGCAGCTGCTGTAGCTGCTGGCAGTTCACATCTGTAAATCTAAATGGTCTGGCTTTAAACTTTCAGGAACAACAGAACCCTAATTTGACTTTAATATAAACTTAAATGATTGTACTTTAGTGTTTAAAGGCCAATGTATTAGTCTTTCTGAATGAGAGCATCGTTAAGACATACAGCTGTCAGTTTTCACTCATAAATACTTTATTTAAACGTGTTGTCTCTTTAGAGCTGGTGCCCTCTTTCACAAATGTTTTTCCTCCACAGAAAAAGAGTCAACCAGAAATAATAATAGCAGTAATATGTATGTTTTTGCAGTGTGTTGGTCCCTCTTTGCCACCTTACTCGTCTGCTGAGAAGAGTTCAGCACAGTTAACGTTAACAAACTGTCAGCTAGCCAGCAGCCTCATTAACAAGCTCGCTGCTGTAGAGCACAAATCAAGTGTATTTACAATAAGACAGTTAAGAAACACAATCTGCTGCAGCCGCTGCCAACAGCCGAGGACCTCCAATATGGCCGACCTTTTCCAGTCCCCTGCTATGCTTCCGCTTTATTTACACTGAGATTCCTATTAAGTAAGTAAGTAAGTTGTTTGTTGTTGTTGTTACGTGCGGTTCGGACAGTCTTTGTGAATTCTGTAAAAACTAAATTAAAATAACTTGCCATTGTAGTTTTTAAAGTTAATATACATTTTAGTGCCTTCATAGTCTGGTTTCATCTCAAATATTTTTAGAAACCGTCAGGTGTGGGCTGTCAAGAGTGGGGGAAAAGCAGGGAAAAACTCCTATTATTCTTTATTCCAAGTTTGTTGCCTCATGTTGCAAGCTTTTTAAACACACCATATACATATATAAGCCTAGATGTTGAAATTTGACTTTGTGGTAGCTGGTTATTTAAAACGCCATGAAACATGAAGACCAGAGATTACAGTTTATTGTCCTTTTAAAGGATTTCCCTGAACTAGTTGAACTGCTAAAAGGCAAATAAAAACATTATTTAAACAAAGGTGCTCTAATAAATCTTAATCAAAGCACTCATTCAAGACTGAACAAAGAAACCTCAACCACTTTAACAAATAATGCATCCGGTGCAACTGGAAAGGACCGACTGTATTCGATACCATCTGCTTAATAACTGAATGTACTGATTTGGCCAAAGTGTAGAACGCAGTATGCAAGAAAAAGCAAAAAAACTGATTTGGAATAAATCTCCAGTACGCATCGGACCGCCTTTACCTTATATACTGTGTCCCATTATGCAAATCACTCTTTACTTCTTTATTTAATCAGGCAGTCTCAACAACAGGTCATCATTGCTAACCATGAAACGCAGTAGGCAGTACATATGTAGTGCAAACAAACCTGTTTGTCTGTCTGTGGGTGGCGATGGCGCAGTGGATAAGACACATGCCGTTTGTGTGGGAGACCGTCGACCACCGATGTGTCTGAGCAGGACTCTTAACCCCTGGTTGCTCCAGAGGCGTGCGGCCTTTGACATATATGGTAATTGTAAGTCGCTTTGGATTAAAGCTTCAGCTAAAAATTAATGTAATAAAATGTGATGTCTGTGTGTCCCAGGTGTCCTCAGCAGGAACTGCACAGAGAACGGTTGGTCTGACGTCTACCCCGCCATCACCATCGCCTGCTGGTCGAACAACACAGATGAACCCAGTGAGGTGAGTTCAGCGTCTGTATGTCACTTCTGTATAAGTTATGTTTGTACTGATGATTGGTGACCTGGAAAGGATAAGCTTTGTGTTCTGATCTGAGCTCTGTGTGCTCGGTTTCATATCCATATCATCATATTGATAGTTAGTTAATGCAAAATAATCAGTAACACTTTATTTAGGTAGGAACCAGTGGGTCATAAAATAATAATATAAAAAGGGGTCATGGGATAGAAAGAAAGTAAAAAAACAACCAATTAATTTTACTCTAATATTTGCTTCTTATGTGAAATATGGGATATTTTTACTTCTTCAAGCCTCATCCAGTTATTCAAATAAAACCATCAGAGATGTTTAAAAGAGACATGGAGAGACAAAGGGTCGCAGGTCAACATGGCTTCATTTTCACAAGCTAAAATGGTACTTGTCTAATTTCCTAGGAGGTTTCCTTGATAGCATTACGTAATTTTGAAACATGACAATCTAAGACAGTAACCAATAGAAGAAGAAACCAATTATCTTTTTGTATTTATATACAGTTTTTGACTTGAAAGGAACCTGAATTTTAGCAACAGACATCCGGTTATTTATTGGAAACTTTACATTTCAGTTGACAAAGCAATCTCACTTAAAGGACCGTCGGGTGTGTTTCCTGGTTAAAACAAAAATCTACAAAATGCTGCGTGCAGGGTTTAATACCACAATGGTTTCCTTTTGTGTTTTCAATCGGAACAAGTTTACATGTGAAGTCCCACGTGCGGAGGAGAACGTTCTCATAAGTGCAAATCACAGATGTCTGTGGTGTAGGCACATTAGAGGATCTTATCTCCGTTTCAACCCACTTTCAATGCAAACCACCCACAGACCCACTTTTGAAACAGGCGAGACTTGGCTGATCTGTTTTGAAAAAAGCCGACCACGAATTAGTTTCAGTTTGTTTGTTTGTGCAAATTGTGTGCGGTGCAGACAGAAAACCTCCTTTTGACAGGTCAGGTCAGTATTACACAATTAGGAGCAGGTTTCAGTTTTCTGAACTCATGACGCTTCAAGAAATCAGGAGTCTGAATGAAAATAATAAAACTACTAATCTAAACATTAATCCATCAGATATCTCCTAGCTGGATTTAGTTTGTTCTCACGGGCAAAATTAAAGGTTGGGAAAGAAACATAAGCACCAAAGATGCTCACAAGTCTCTGAGCTAGAGTCTAAGTTAAGTCTCAAGTCTCTCGTGGTTATAATGAATGTTGCCTGCTGCATTCAATCCAGGCTGCTTAAAAATCTGCATAGCTATAAGGGATCTGTAACTGTAACCTGTTTTTCCACAGCACAACCATGTAATGTGCAACGCAGTTAATGACAGAATAAAAGCTTATTAATGACTGTAAGTCAACTCCAACTGCAGGCTCTCAAACCAGTGTAACGTTAACTAAATGAAACTGTAACGTTACATGATCAACAATAAACCTGTAACCTGTTTTTCCACTTACAGAGCACAACCATGTGATGTGCAATGCGTCTACAACTAATGACCGCTTATAAACTACTATAAGTCAACACATCAGACTCTCAAACCCGTTAATCGACTACCACAAGTTTGGCAAGTAAACGCTCATTCATAACGAACGACAGTTGGAGTTAACCTCTGGGAGGTCGTAGCTAAAGCAACAAGCAAGCTAACGTTAGATGGCGAATGCTGAGCTAAACTGTCAGGAATTATACTAGAACCCAGATGCAGACACGGAGACAATGCAGCAGTTTATTGATTGAAGCAGAGTGAGCAAACTAGGCAGGGTGAGGTGGCAGGGAGTTTCCTTCTAAGCTGTCTGGACTGTGGCTGGAAGGGTTGCATCTTGGACTTCGAGAGACTTGGAACTGGCAGGCAGGCTGAGCAGGTAGAGCAGGCGATCTGGAGACAGGCGGAGAGAAACTATTTAAAGCAAACTGGTTACTTGATTAACAGGCTTAAAGCTAGACGCTAAGGCAAGACCTACGGTACACGACTTAACAATCCGACAGGGAATGGAAGTCTGGTCTCTCCTTAAGAAGAGGGAGGGATGGCAGATCAGGAAAGGTGCGCGATTACCAACAGGTGCAGCTAGTGCCAACTCAGGAAGCCCGACACGCCCAGGATTGAAAAAACTGAGAGAAGGGAGGGAAGAGAAACAGAACAAAAACACACCAAGCATGCCTCACTCACCCAAAGGAAAAAACAAATCGAAACACACTCACTCAGTCTCAAACTCAGGTGACAGATGCAGGAGTCATGCATGACATAAACATGTTTACAAACCTCATTTCCTAAAAATAAACATTGTTGATTGAGTCCCGCACCTCGAGTCTCGAGGAAAAAAATGTGTAATTAAATTCAGTTACATATGAAAAGGTTACATGATTACATTGGATGTTACATCTAAATATTTTCTGTAAAAAGCTCGGCTATATGTTTCTCATTGTTGCACATTGTCTTCCTTTGCCGTTTCCAGCCACAAAGTTTGATGCTGTTCTGATGCTTCTGATTGGTTCTCATGTTTGAATTTTCAGCGCCACCCGTCTGCCAGTTAAATTACCTCTCAAGCTGTCTTGTAAAAATGGTTAAGAGTAGAAAACTTTGAAAAGGAATCAAAAAGTAATTAAATGTAATATGTTACATCACTAAAGTAATTAAATTTTAAATAGGGTAACTTTTTATTGGTAACCTCCAAAGCAACACTGTTCACTGTCTCTACATTGTTATAAATGGTTTTGGGTCAGTTTGGGCCGTATGCACTACATAAAAGTAGATGTTTATAGTATAGTCCCAATGAAGGAAAATTTTATGTGTCAAGGATCAGATTTCATCTCCCCAGTTTCTGTTGCATCGCTTCTTATCCACCAATAAGTGGTGTATTAACAAGGCTGATTTCATATCAGCTCAGTGTTTCAGCATCTCTGCATGTGTCTTCATAGATGACACTGTGACCGATAAACCGAGAGGAAGCTCGGGGTTGAGAGAGAGTATATCAAATGCGAGGAAAGAGAGTTTTTTTCTGACCCCAAGCGACCTCTTTCTCTCGTCAGGCCACAGAGAAATTATCGTTTCCTCGTTGTGTTTGTGTTTCTGCACTTACAACATCATCAGGTCTAAACTTCAATCTTACCTGCCTACATGAATACCACCTGTAAAACTCCACATCAACCTCACGTCCCCAAATCCAGACTAAACACTAATTCTGAGCAGGTTTTGAGTTTGTCGGGTGTGAAAAAAATGACACCATGCGAAGTAAATACAGTCAATGTCTGAGTGTGTTGGTGATGGATACTATTTTACCACAACGCAAAGGAAATGGAAGAGCTTCACAAAGCTGAAAGAAAATTAAATATACTGCGGGTGATGGTGAAACAGCTCCAGAAAATATTAGTTTACAAAGAAATAAGTATTTTTAAATTTTAAAAAAAACCTTTGATGTCTCTTTGGTGAAGTTTTCTTGCTTAATTAAAGTTGCAGTTTGATAACGTCTGACGTTGCATAAAGCCTTGTATCATTTCCTGTGGTGATATTTTTTTATATTACCTGCTAAAACAGGATTTTATGATGATGATGATGTTTGTAGTTTATACTGTATTTAAATTATTATTATTGAGTGTATGGATTTTGGGACGCAGGACGATAAACATGTTAAACATTTAAAATTTTTGGGCAAGCAGCGAATACACAGGTCACAATACATGGACTACTTCAAGTAGATAAATAAATAAATAGATAATAATAATAAGTAATAAATACAGAGGTTTACGATGCCTGGCACATGTCTAGTTGCCGCTGTCAGCAATATTTAAAAGCCTGATGGCAGAAGGAATAAAATAATTTGCATATCTGTTAGTTTTCCTTGGGGGGGCGAGGTAGCGCCGTCCTGAGGGCATTAAACAGAATTCCTGACTAAGAACGTGGTCAGGATGACTCACGACCTGTCCAGCCTTCTGGAGCACCTGTTTTTTTCCAGAGGGAGCTCAGGTCTGTCAGCTGATCGCCACTGATGTTGGAGCAGATAATCCATAAAACCTGCAGATAAAAGAAAATGTTAAAAGACTTTCAATAAATGAATAATAAAAGTTGCATAAGATGCTCTGGGAAACATTAAAAGAATTTAGTTTAGCGATTGACTCTGTGTTTTTGTCAAACTTGAGGTTGGAGTCTAACATGGTTCCTAAGTACGTCTCTACAGTTTCAACATTTTCTCCATGAGTGATGCTGGCTTCTGGGTTAAAACGGTTCTTCCTAAAATCAATGATTAACTCCTTAGTTTTTGTCACATTAAGGTCCAGGTAGTTATAATCACACCATTTCACAAATGCTGATAAGGCACTCCCGTGGCCTGATTGAGCCCCCTGGTACTTTTTGCATCAAATAACGCTTTGTCAGCCTTTCTGAAAGTGTCAGTATCCGACGCCCTGAGATGAGAACAGACAACAACACGCGAGTAATTAACAGGCACATTAGTGGGAACCTTCTTTGACAGACAGGACCGTTTGGCAGGCAGCACGGATTTGGTACCTACAAGGAGTTAGAGGTTTTATAAGAGACAGTGTTCTCTTAAGAGATGAGGTTTCAAGAGCTTCTTGAAGTTAGAGAGGGACGCCCCTGCTCTGATGGCGTGTGGTAGCTCGTTCCACCATCGTGGTGTCACAGATGACAGCCGGGACTGGGATCGCTTTGTGTGAAGGGATGGCAAAACATAAATTATAAGAAGAATAAGATGACCTGCATGGCTAGATTTGTGCGAACCAACCCTTTAAAGAAAGAGTTCAGGAGGGCAGTGATGTGGACTCAAGACCTCTGAGTTTATGTTCCTAAGCTTTTAAAAAGGTTCCTGAGGTGGAAAAAGGGCATTTTCTGTTTTCACATTTAACAAAAAAGAACATTTGGGGTTTCACTGCTGCCAAAAACAGTGTGATCAGCAGACAGAAAACATCCACGGTACCAGGATTGAGAGTTTTACCACGCTGACCCAGTCTCTTGTTGTGTGGACTT